TTATTTTCTAACTTTGTACTTTTATAAAATTTATCCTTTTTATAATTTATGGCTGTTTCGTATTTTTCACAATTTGTTTTGTAAATATTTTCTGCTTTATTACTACAAATAGTATTTTGAATTTGATTATTTTCTTGTAAATTTCTAGTAACATACGGATCTCTAAAATTCGTGTATAAAAATTTTCTAGATGATGTATAAGTTACAGGTTTTAGTAGATTTTCCAATCTTGTAAATTGGAAATTAGATAACTTATTTGTAGGTTTTAATTCTATATTTTCCGTAGTTAATTTTAAATCATTTAGGAACTTTATAGATTCATTTTTCGTAGTCGTTTTCTCGAAATTCAACGACGAATCTTCTTTTTTAGGAACTTCAATATTTTCATTTATTTGTTTTGTAGTTTCCAATTTTATAATAGGGAAACTTTTTGTGGACAATTCCTTACAGAATTCTGCATGATATTTAACAAATTCATTTACTTTTAGTCTAGCTTCAACATCATTATCTGCATTTAAAGTTTTTATTTTATCCTTATTCAATATTTCTGATTGTCCTAAAATTGTTTCGTTTTTGGAAAACAAATTTATTTTGAATTTAACCAAAGCTTATTACTATTTAATATCATATATTATCATATGAAATGGTGGACTATTATTGTCAAATTTATGAAATATTATTAAAAATTACCTTGATTATATTTTTTTTCATATTGCATTCCTACTAACTGCGACACATTAAAACAATTTTCTGTATTAAAAGCAGTATTATTATATTTTTCATTAAATGAATTAAATTGAGACGTATTTAATGGTTTAAAATCAACTTTCATTGAATTTTCGTTGACTTGAAAAAGAGATGGATTCTCATTTTGTAAGTCTTGTTGCGCATTTTCCTTTTGTAGATAACTGTACAGATTGGAATGCATTTTACAATCTGAACGTAAAATTATATTTATGCAAGGAACATCACAGTGAATATGTTTTGCATGATTACTGCATCTGTAGTTTTGCAAGTTTAAATATCCCGAGTGTGATATAGTGACGGGATTTATTATTTTCATTCTGCTTCTTTCAGCCAGTCCATCGTATTCTTTGCTTGTTTCATTCTGCAAATATCTATTGATTAGGATAGGTTAAATGATTTTATATAACCACATTTAAATCTACGTTAAAACTGTCTGGTGTCGAATTTAAAGACCTGCAAATAAAAAAAAAATATTTAATTGGATGCAAAGAGCTTATGGATATAATTTAATCATAATATTGATAATTTTAATGAAATTTGCAACAATAATAGTTTAATAGTTATATATTTAATAATATTTTATATTTTTTTTATTATTAATTATATTATTATAATTAATTAAAATTAATTATAGTATATTTTCAAATTTCACTAAAATTTCAACGAGTTAAATATTCCTGAGGAATAAAAATATTATTAATTATTAATATAAATATTAAATATTTTAAATGGCTCCAAAGCATTGAATTAAAATTCATTTATTATTTCTATGCAAAGAAATATGCTATTAAAATAGATGATAAGTCTAATATAGAACATATGCAAATAATTATACGATCACAAAGGTTTGTTAAAGTTCTTAGGATTATTCTGCTTTGAGACTTCTGCTTCATTATTTGAAACATAAGATGTAAATGCTGATTTTTTCGGCGTTAGATCATGCAAGACATTTTTCAAACACTTGCAATCCAAAGGAAAGGAATATCGCTCAATTATCGATCGCGCACCACTATTTGTTTGAGGTTGTTTGGGAATCGCGGTGTAAGGTTTCTTCAGCCAGTCTACTTGCCTGGCAGTTTAATTTTTTATTTTTATCACTTGAATTTCAAAAACTAATGCAGAGGTGGAAAGCAATTTATTTGATATTAAATTTTTAATATTTTAATTTAAAAAAAAAAGAAACTAGAAGTAATAAATAATAGAAGTTAATAAAATATATAAATTACAAAAAATTTACAAAAATTACATGATTTTTCCTTAATATAGACAATAAAATATTTTTTATTAACTGTAAAATTATAAAGCTATCAAAATATTCATTTATATTAAAAAATATAAATAAAAAAATTGTTTAAGTAATAATGAAAATCCACCTCTACACTTAAAATTGCTATTATTTAATTAAATATTTTTCTACCTGTGTTTTGTCTCATTTGTTTCATTAGGAAAGTAAAATTTTGGACATGGAACTTGGACAGGAACTGAATCAAGAGTATCTTCACAAGGTCTAAGAAAAATATGATCGAAAACAATATTGCTATTTCCAGCTTCCACCTTAATCAAGATTTTACTTTTATCTGAAAATCTGAATCGTAAATAATGCGCATACGTACCTACGATTTTCTTCTTCTTTTCTCGCGCGATCAAATCTTTCATTCGTAACTTGTCTACGAAGTTCACTAATTTGTTTAGAATACTCTGCAGCTTGAGTTTGATATTGTCGAAGTTTTGTTGACTCTGAGGATCTACAACGTTAAAAAAAAATTGTAGTTAATTATTGATATTACCATGAATTATCAATAGTTTATAATATTTTAAATTAAGAAATAAATGTATAAATAAATAAATAGAATATTTCTTGTTATAATTTTCAAATAATAAAAAAATTATGATCAAATTTATCATCACTATTATTCTTAATTAATAAAACAAAAATCAATAACCAAATTTCTTACAATTTAGTTTGAAGTTCAGACATTTTTTGTCTTAATCTGGACATTTCGTTTTGAAGCTCCTGATTATTAGTTTGCGCAGTTATAGATTCCTGTCTTGCTTGATCCAATAACATCTCAAGTCGTTCTACTGTCGCGCGATCTTTAGTCATTTGATCTTGAATGACAGCTTGCTCCGCTTTTAATTTAGCAATTTGCATGTCGTACTAAAAAGTCAAAAACACAAAATAAAAAAACCATTCACCATATTTTATCAATTCACGTGCAAATATATGTGTAATTATTTCGTTCATCTTAAATCAAGTTTTTCTTTTTTCTTTAAATTTTATTCTTAATTACAAAAATAAACCTGTTTACCTGTGTTTTAAGCGTATCTTTATCGTCCAGCTGTGCCATAAGTGTATCTTTTTGTTCATCCAATTTCATGCATAGATCTCTAACAGCAGTTAAATCAGCCTCTGCTCTATGCTTCTGTTCTCCCTGTTGACGTAACTGTGTTTCCAAACTTGCCACATTTTGAGTCAATTCACTGATCTAAAAGTGTTCATATTACAAATTATTTTATTATATATTATTACAAAAATAAATATCATTATTATGGAAGAATTATTAAAAAAAAAAAAAATACATTAACCTGAGTCTCATAGCCTCTTATTAAACTATCTTTATCAGCCAATTGTCGTTCTAAATCCAACAGCCTATCCCTGGCGGATTTAAGCGCTCCTCTCGCCTCAGCTGCCTCAGACTCTAAACTATGATTATTATTTTCCAAAACGGTCGCCTCCAAGCTTAAGCTTCTAAAGTGATTCAACATTTCTGATCTCTCATTTTCCTGTGGGAAGGGAAATGTGTTGAAATTTTAAAAATATTGACAATAATGAATATATTTTCATAATTTTAATAAAATCACCTTTCTGTTAAGAAGTTCCTCAGCTCTGCGGACCTCGCTAACGTAAGTCTGAAGCTGTCTCTTCAGATCAAACGACTCGCCACGAGATGTTTCTAATTCGCGCTGCAGATTTCTTACTTCGCTAGTTGCCGCAGCCAAATCGTCTTGGGTTCGTCGATTTTCCTGGATAGCGTTATCTCTGTCGTACGAAACCGTTTGCAATTGTCGTTGAAGATTTTCCATCTCCAATTGTATCGACCTTAATTGCCGATTCGCGTCCGCGGTCTGATCCACGCACATCCTGTTGAAAAATAAATAAGATAAATAATTTTCGTTGCAAATTGATTGAAACAAATTAAAAAAAAAAAATGAGAAAACATACTTTGATTTTTCTTTGACCTTATTAAAGATAGACTAAAATGTATTGAAATTTATTCAATTTCGATATTTTCCTTAAATTCCGAGGATTTCTATCTTTATGTTTTATAATCTACAGCAATCTTACCGCTCTACTACTGTACTATATATCTTTTAATATATCTCTCATTTTCTCTCATAAATACAAACATGTTTGTTAAACATGTCACGAAAGATCTATAACATTGGAACACGAATTCGAAACAGTTCATCAACAAGAGGAATTCTCAACGAAGGTTTTGAGCAATCATTTCGAACAATGAAAATGTGATCGCAAAGCTTGCATTTAAACATGGATGTATGGATAAGGATAAACGCCACATAGGAGCGGAGTCGCATTTTCAGTCGAACCTGTCACATAGCGATTATTACATCGATGTATCGATACTTAATCTATTCTATTATGCGAATCGTACGCCCATCTCTCGTGGCGCAAGCGTTGTTCTAAAAAAAAGGGGACAAGGGCAGCGCGAGTGTGTTGAGGAATTAGATAGGCTATTGCCTAATTCTTTCTTGGAGAAATATTTACGTGGTCAGATTTCGTTTCGTTTGTGGATCACGTAACCCCAAAACCGATTTTATTAGGGACAAAAAAAAAAGTGAATACGTAAGAAAAGAGCCGTAGAAAGCAGACATTAAGTCACGACATGCAACGTTGCACGTGTTTGTTATTAAAACATTCTGATCACTGACAAATCGCAACTTTAATGGCTTTCGATTATACGGTACAGTAAATATGTGTCGCAGATGTCGCTTTAAATGATATTTAATGTATATCCTGAGATGCTCATACGATATAAAAAATATTTTATTTCTCTCTCTTCGTATATTATTTTTTAATAGTGGAAAAAAAAGAAAAACTATAGTGAAGAAATTATCAAATATTTATACATATTCCTTCATCTAGAAATCATTCATTTATATGAAATATTTTTCGCTATAATTTCATTCGAAATAATGAGAGATAGGAAAACAAATATATAAAATAAAATAAATTAATTCAAATACTTAATATTAAAAAATCCAGTTTTAGTTCGGAAGAGAAATATAATTAAATAGATTAAAATATTGTATTAGCCATATTTGGACAATCGATTATCGATTCTTCGCGTCTCGATTATGCGTCTGCGCGTTATGTAAGCAGTAATAATACGCGGATGCATAGTCGCCAGGATTCAAAGAGAGAAAAAAAAACAGAGAGCAACTTGTTCAACGAACAGACTTTCTCTCATCTCGACATCCTTCTCTGATGCCAACAACTTCCTTCAATGGTTCGTATCCATATATTTCCCCTATATGAAAGTGGAAATAATCTCTCAAACACTTATTGACCGAAGCTCGTCACGCACACATTAGATGCCCATAAATATGTTTAAATTGGTTAGAATGTTATAAAAGATGAAAAAACGATTTTTATCTTGGTAATGTATATATATATATATATATAATCGATTAAAATAATAAAAATATATTTAAATTTCAAATATTTATATTAAATTAAAATAGAATTAAAAAAATTTATTATATATATAACGTAGATATGTAATGGTAGTGCACAGCATTCAAAGTAGTACAATGGATAAAGAATCGATGAGATACGATAAGAACAAACGGAATTATATCACGAAGAAACATAAAAATAATTGTTTCAAATCCAATATAATATATTTAATTATTGAATTAGCTATTATTTATATTATTGCATCATACAATAATCAAAAATGATTATTGCTCGAATATGCATGTAAAAAAAATAAATTTGATAATAATAATAAATAATATCAACAATAATATGAAGATATCAGATGTTAGAAATGCGCAAATGGAAATAGAAAATATTTACAACTACCGTAAACAAGTTAGATAGAAGAATTTATCTATCTATCTCGCTCTCACACATAAATGAAGGAAAGTGAACTGTTCTATACATATTTAAGAGAAAGAGGAAGAGTATATAACATAGAAAATCATCAAGTTCGCATACAAAAAAAATGTTTCCTTAATACTTATTATTATATATTTATTTAATATAATGACATTATTATTTATATAAAACTTAAAGCTTGGAATAATTGAAAATTTCGAAGCTGAAAAATATTATTATTACTTTGAAAATATTTAATGATATTATATAACATTATTAATATACACGATATCTAAAAGTTAAACAAATGAAATTTTTTTTTTAATAAGATATCACTTATCCTTCTCCATCATTACTTTTACTTCTTAATAACACAACTTACGTTTATTCTAGATATAATCAAGAATTAGCATTAAGCGGCTATAGAAGCAGAATATATGCATAAGAATAAAAAAGAAAATGCAGCAATTTATAACACTCGTGTAAATACAAATTCTCATATGCGACCACGGAAATTCACCGATTATATACATTTCCTTTTCGTTTAATCGCGGTAAGAGTTTCTTTATTTTCCTAACGAAGACTTTCATAACGGAGAGAATCAACAGAGAAAAAAAAACCTTCAATTTACAGATTACGTACAATGCGTGCGTAACAACGTAACAAAGAAATAAAAAGATTACGAGACAAACAGCACAATTGTGAATACGCTCAATTAAATAATAAATTAAACCAATAAATTTAATAAACATTCCAAATAACTACGAAACAACAAAATTTAAAGCACAATTTTTTACTTCTATTCTTTTCTATATATATTTTATATAACTATGTGACTAGGAAATGAACTAGGAAAAAAAAAAAAAAAAAGAAATTCAAGCAGGGAAAAGAAAATGGAAGAAGATCTAATCGTTTCGTTCAAACCGAAACAAAATTCAAGGCTTCGATGTAACGACGAAGGTCATCCATACGTGCGTTTCGTCCCGTTAACGCGATGTTATTGAGTAAGGCATACTTTCATTTTCGTTCATCTTGAGGAATGTCCTTGAAATCGAAACCGCGATAAGAAATCGTGTTATTCGAATGAATTTCGCGGTTGTGCTCTGAACACTTTCAAGATTCTATCAAGAGATCCACAATCACATAATCTTGAATTCTTTTCAAGTAATTCTTAAGCTATTGCAATATCTATTCAACGTGACGAAATTTATCAGGTATGATAGTCTCTTCAAACTTCAATTACGATTCGAATGTGTATTAAGCGTTGAAATTTTCTAGATTTTTTTTCTTCAACGTTGCTTCGTGGAATAATTATTTGATGAGAGAGAGAGAGAGAGAGAGAGAGAGAGAGAGAGAGAGAGAGAGAT